CGTGATGCATTTTTCAGAATTAATTTTATATATAGTAACAATGTTATGTAGGCTAATGTAATAATGTGGCAATGGTTTCTTAAGATCTACTTATGCTTCTGATGCTTTTGGGAAACGCAGCCCTATTTGAACAAGCACTCTGAGCCATGCGTCAGCAGCGAATGCAGTCTGTGATTGATTGGTTCTGTCTTTCAGCATTTGCGTGTGTTCCGATGAGCTGGAGAAATGGTTTTATCCAACACAATTATTCGCTAATATACTTAAAAGCTTTTTTATGCACCGAATTTCTTGATAAATAAATAAAATTAATGGTTAAAAAATGCACTTTAGAATCGATATTTTTATGTGAGGATCGATCCTTTCGATACAACATCAATATAAAAAATATCGATACTTAAAGGGGTCATATGATGCTATTTTAAATGCTATTGACATGCTTTAATGTTCAAAAAACATCAAAAAATTATTTTTCAAATACTGTACATTATTGTAGGTCCTCTATGCCCTGCCTCTCTCAAACACGTTGTTTTCAACAAAGCTCCCTCCTTTGACAAGCGCAATCTGCTCTGATTGGCCTGCTGACCCAGTGCATTGTGATTGGCTGAACACCACGTCGGAAATGTAACTCCCCTTACCAGAATCTCTTCAGCTTTCAAAGTAAATATCAAGACAGTTAATAATGTCGTTAGTTTTACCATCAGTTCAAGCCCGAAAGGGCAACAGAGTCGCGTGACAGACACAGTGATGATGCAGTACACAAGCCGTGGTTAAGACAGCTGCGTGCTATGATTTCTGACAGGCAGTTCACTCTCCTGCGATGTGACCCTGTTCCCCTCACACACACACACACACACACACGACGCGTTACTCTGCGTTGCGCAAAACTCCGCATTTGAACAGTCAAAAGCAAATACTTAAACTAGTAACAAAACATACTTACAGTCGCTGATTCAGAAGCGCCAGATTGTCATAGCAAAGTCGGAATTTACCCTTTTTTTTCTTTTCTTTTTTTAGAAATAGCCTTTGTGCACAGCCAGCCTTGTACTCTTCTAGGTTAAAAAACTGTCGTCCATAAAATGCGCTGCACAAATTCGAACATCTGGGTTGTGCTGTTCTGTTGTAAATAAATCTTAACCAATGATTCCTAATTGCATCTACTTCCGGAAGGCCAAATAAAGTGCTTTTTCTTTCACACTGAAACACACACCGTCTCCCTGACATGGCTGCATCAACACTACTGCTGTTCCTGAAACCACGCCTTCTTTCTTTGCGTGCACATTTGGGCGGCATTATGCTAATGTTTCCACATCGTGACGTAGATATGTGGGGGCGTGTTAGAACGAGGTGTTTTAGGTAGGCTTGGTTGACTCTTAACTTTTATAAAGAATATCTCTTTGAATTTGAGACTTTAGTCTTTGAAACTTTACAGATCTTCTTTATGCACCAAGAGCTTGTAACACGCCAAAGAGAAAGGAAAACTTGAAATCGCATCATATGACCCCTTTAAGGATCGATCTGCCCATCCCTGTTAGGATCATGACCGGCCTCTGACGAGCTGTTACCACCACCATCTTCAGCCAGAGAGGACTTTATTTCTTCAGCTTCTTCTTGCTTTGTCACCCCGGCCAGAGGTGTGCTAACAGGGCTTGCAGAATCGGTTGTGCTATTAACGTCATCACTACACAATTTCTTAGTAAAACCAAAATTAATTAAACTGCCTTTTGTTCTTTTTGCCATGGTGGCTAAATGATGCTAACTGCAGAATGGATTTCAAGGACTTCGCGAGCAGATCAACGGCCTCCAACGTTTATATTTTTTCTACGAATCTTTGAGTTAACATGTACTAAACATGAGTGGAATTTGCACCGCAGCACCCCCTCAGAATGCTCATGACAAGAATAGCATGTATAGTTATCTTTATTGAAGTGAATTAGGTTTAAATCGCCGTCATGCATGAATGAATGATATTTTTGGAATTTTACACACAGCCTAATAATCCACGATGATCCCATTACACAAAACTGAAATTGCACATCAAAATAACACATTGTCAATATTTTTTGAGAACCCCCAAAATTTCACAAATCACGTTTTCAGGGGAGCCCATGTCTTATTAAGGGGTCATATGATGCGATTTCAATTTTTCCATTCTCTTTGGAGTGTTACAAGCTCTTGGTGCATAAAGAAGAGCTGTAAAGTTGCAAAGACTAAAGTCTCAAATCCAAAGAGATATTCTTTATAAAAGTTAAGAGTCAACCAAGCCTACCTAAAATGGCTCGTTCTAACACGCCCCCACATGTCTACGTCATGATGTGGGAAGATTTGCATAACGCCGCCCAAATGTTCACGCAAAGAAAAAAGGCGTAACTTTTATTCTCGCTGTAGTATTGTTGTTGCCGCCGCCGCCATGTCGTGAAGGCGCTGTGTTTCGTTGTGAAAGCGAAACTACTTTGGTTGGCCTTCCAAAAGAGGACGATATCCGCTTCGTCATGCCTGGAGCTGATCCGTGCTGGTCGCTGAGGAAATACATCAACTTTGCGCTGTGGATCGCCGGATCGGCTTTCAACGTGGACGAAGCAGAGTCCAGCCTGGGGTCGTCACATGTGGTTGCCGCAAGCCGCATCGTTCTCAAGCCCGCCTGCCTCTGCTCACTCAAGCCGGCCTCTGACGATTCAAACGCGAGTTTTTTGGGCAGTGTAGAGTAGCACTTGTTGTTTGTCATTTCTCCCATCACAAATGCAGACATGGTTTTATGATTATGCGGCGCGATGCACGCAACGCGTAAAAAGACAGTATAAGTCATTATAATCCGTAATTATGTCCCCACTGGATGCAACAAATGCCTAGTTTATAATGGGTTTTAATGTTTTTGTCTCGTCGCTCCGGCCGGACAGGGCATCACAATATGGTAGGGGCGTAACATTTCAGTCACACGCTTGAGGTCTTCGGCCAATCACAACACACTGGATAGCTGGCCAATCAGAGCACACCTCGCTTTTCAGACCGATGAGCTTTGTAAAAATCGACGCGTTTCAGAAAGGCGGGGCATAGAGGAGAAACAATAATGTACAGTATGTGGAAAATAATGTGTTTTTTTTTACTTTAAACCACATAAACACATTTCATTACACCAAATACACAAAATAATGTTCTTTCTAGCAGCATCATATGACCCCTTTAAGGGGAGCCGAGCTCCCCCTAGCGCCCCCGTAGTTCGCACCCTCTATCTATCAATCAATCTATCTATCTATCTATCTATCTATCTATCTATCTATCTATCTATCTATCTATCTATCTATCTATCTATCTATCTATCTATCTATCTATCTAGGCATAGTGTGGACAGTGCATAGATATATAATCATTGTTTAATAGTCACATATTCTGTATGTCACTAACTTTTTTATGTCTTGTCTCTAATAGCTATGGCGTTCATTATTGCGATGCTTCTGGCCAGTCTCAACAGCTGCTGTAACCCCTGGATCTACATGTTTTTCGCTGGTCATCTGTTCCGGGATCTCATGCAGCGCTGTCTTATGGCATCACACTGCGGCTGTAAGAGGCAATGGAGATCTAAGAGCCATTCAGGCACGGGTGCAATGAGGAGCACCAGCAGTCAGAAGAGTGTGACGCAGTCCTCTACTACATGAGAGAAAGTTGGAATACATGCAGTTCATATTACCGTCATGGACAGATCAATAAGATAACATAAGCTAAGGAATCATTTCATATGATTTTTACAACTTAAGATCTGTATCTTTACAAAAGTAATGCTTGACCTGTAGCTGTCTTTGATACAAGAGGTATTTATATCCATCTCTTCTCCAAACTGCTTATTCTCTGTAGGGCCATGGGAGACATTTACATGTGTAAGCCTAAAGGAACAGTTCACCCAAAAAGAAAAAAATTGCTGAAAATGTACTCACCTTCAGACCATCCAAGATGCACATGAGTTTGTTTCTTCATTGGAATAGATTTGGAGAAATTTTGCATTACGTCACTTGCTCACCAATGGGTGAATGGGTGCCATCAGAATTAAAGTCCAAACAGCTAAAAACATCCACAATAATCCACACCACTCCAGTCCACTCATCAACATCTTTGATCGTCTGAGGGAGAGTAAAGTTCGTGCAAATTTTCATTTTTGGGTGAACTATTCCTTTTAAAGTATTTATTATATTATTTATATAATTTATTCACCCTCACATCATTCCAAACTTGCATTCTGTAATTCCTTAGTCTGAAACAAAAGCAAAAAATACAAATTTTCTCACAATGGCAAATTTTTTGTTGTTGTTGGATGAACTGAAGTCTGTTTCAAGTATCTATAAATAAAAGTGGAGGTAATGGAGGGATGATGGATGGAGAATCCTCACAGAAATAAGGATTGTATGATGCTTGTGTGAGTTATGTTTCTCCTGCCAAATTTTAAAACTCCATCAAATAGTTTGAAATCTGATTTTAAAAAAGTCGGTTATAATTTCAGGCTTTATGTTTTCAGATCAAGCATTCAGGACAAATATAGTGAATATCTGAATAACCAAAAAGCCCCTGGTCATTTCAGAATTTTAACAGGGAGATCAGATAAATAAACTGTAATAAAATACAGCACATGATCTGTTGACTATGTCTTAACTTTTGCCAAGTCAGCACCTTTTATCCTAGTATCATATGAAGTTACGAACCATACTTTATACAGTAAACAAATATAAAGAATTCAGAATTAGCACTTTTTCTTAATGTATGTGAATGTCTCTCTCTCTCTCTCTGTGTGTGTGTGTGTGTGTGAGAGAGAGAGAGAGAGAGAGAGACAATAAATCTTTTCTTTTTTAGCAGGAACAGTTCAACCAAAAGTGAAAATTGTGTGATAATTTACTCACTTTCGTGTTGTTCCAAACCAAACCCATTTGATTTTCACGCCATTTGAGGATCACATATCAATGGGATTAAAGGTTTTAAAGAATAACTTGGTGTTATATTCTTTTGCAGCCATGCACAGGGACTACAGGAGTTACATTAAATAACAGCTTAAAAGCTACTGCATGGCTTTAGAAGACTTTTGAGTTTCCTGTAGTGTTGTGCTTGAATGGATTTTTATGGTGCTTTCATGAAGCCTGACAACAATGTGCTTTCTTCATAGAAGAAGAGCAGCTCCGAGATTAGTTAGCCAGAAGTCATACTGATTTGGATTTGAGGGTGAGTATATGATGAGGACATTTTCATTTTCTGGTGACTTTTCAGTGGTTTTGATGTTCCAGCGGTGTTCCTTAATCAGTATTTTGTAGAAATATACTGTAAATATTGTTCACACAGCAGCTCTATAAGGCTGTGATTCACTTGAATGTAATCTTATTTATTAAACATCTTTATGTTCTAACAAATGCATTAGACTGTGGTTGTGGATATGAATGAACATGATCAATTGCAGGTGGAGAATTTATTTACAGGATATAGCTTTTTTGTAATTGGTTTTGAATTTGAACACAAAACCAGACAGGGCTAGCAGAAAAGACGACATCCAAGTTTTCTTTATGACCAATGCCAAGATGTGAGCTCACATAAATAAGTCAATTATTCTCAGGATGAATCCAATCATTTGTTTTTCAAGAACTGAAGAATACTACATCTTTTCAATTGTTAAAAGAAATGGTGTTGCCAAATATGCAATTAAAACTGGAATGAAACAGGTCTCATGATCACGCATTTGGATTTGGACAAAATGAAAATCTGTCTTGGAATAGCCTATGTTTGGTCCATGAACAGAGACGGCAAATTTTAAATATTAATTTTCTAATACAACCACTTCATACAGACTCATCAGTCATATCTTCAACGTCTAACTGGGAACAGAAGCACATTAAAACCTCATTATAAATATGCAAATGTACAAAAAGTTTAAATGAAAGGAGTTCCTTCGATTAAAAAAATGCTAACTGCGAAAATCAGATTAAGCAATATTATAAATTGTTTGACAGATATTAGCCTCTTCAGCCAAATGATAAATCTGTCACAGTATATATGATTTCCAATCTAAAAAAAAATCCCAATAGTACTGCACTGTCTAAAAACCTCGCTGAATACAAATGGATGCACACTGACACCTAGTGTTTTAATACAGCTTTACAGCAAAAGAGTGCGTTTATGTGTTCTTCAGTGATTCCCTTTTAAATGTTGCAAACACCATCTTCGCAATTTCCTCTAAAACGAAAATGGACATCATATAGTGTTTGAAAAAACACTAAATATTTTAAGGAAGTCTAACCAGCTAAAAATTTGTTCCAGTTCCTAATTAACATGGTGTTACATTTTTTATTTTTTTTTATACTTAATTCAATTTTCCATAAAAAAATCTTATTATGTTCAGTGTTGAGAACACTTGTGGGTTCTTAATATTTTTGTGGAAACCATGATTTTTTAAAGGATTCTTTGCTGATTAGATAGATCAAAAGAACAGCATTTATTTAAAACAGAACTCTTTTGTAGCGTTATACATTTCTTTACTGTCACTTTTTATAGCTTCATTGCATCCTTGTCAAATTTGAAAAAAAAATTACATTTATTTATAATTAAATAATTTAAATGAAATAATTAAAAATAATTCATAATTAAATTAAATTAAAACAATTACTGGCCCCAAATTTTTGAAAAGTATTTACACTATAATTTACAAATATCATTGGACTACAGTCTTATACTGATTTGGATTTGAGGGTGAGTATATGATGAGGACATTTTCATTTTCTGGTGACTTTTCAGTGGTTTTGATGTTCCAGCGGTGTTCCTTAATCAGTATTTTGTAGAAATATACTGTAAATATTGTTCACACAGCAGCTCTATAAGGCTGTGATTCACTTGAATGTAATCTTATTTATTAAACATCTTTATGTTCTAACAAATGCATTAGACTGTGGTTGTGGATATGAATGAACATGATCAATTGCAGGTGGAGAATTTATTTACAGGATATAGCTTTTTTGTAATTGGTTTTGAATTTGAACACAAAACCAGACAGGGCTAGCAGAAAAGACGACATCCAAGTTTTCTTTATGACCAATGCCAAGATGTGAGCTCACATAAATAAGTCAATTATTCTCAGGATGAATCCAATCATTTGTTTTTCAAGAACTGAAGAATACTACATCTTTTCAATTGTTAAAAGAAATGGTGTTGCCAAATATGCAATTAAAACTGGAATGAAACAGGTCTCATGATCACGCATTTGGATTTGGACAAAATGAAAATCTGTCTTGGAATAGCCTATGTTTGGTCCATGAACAGAGACGGCAAATTTTAAATATTAATTTTCTAATACAACCACTTCATACAGACTCATCAGTCATATCTTCAACGTCTAACTGGGAACAGAAGCACATTAAAACCTCATTATAAATATGCAAATGTACAAAAAGTTTAAATGAAAGGAGTTCCTTCGATTAAAAAAATGCTAACTGCGAAAATCAGATTAAGCAATATTATAAATTGTTTGACAGATATTAGCCTCTTCAGCCAAATGATAAATCTGTCACAGTATATATGATTTCCAATCTAAAAAAAAATCCCAATAGTACTGCACTGTCTAAAAACCTCGCTGAATACAAATGGATGCACACTGACACCTAGTGTTTTAATACAGCTTTACAGCAAAAGAGTGCGTTTATGTGTTCTTCAGTGATTCCCTTTTAAATGTTGCAAACACCATCTTCGCAATTTCCTCTAAAACGAAAATGGACATCATATAGTGTTTGAAAAAACACTAAATATTTTAAGGAAGTCTAACCAGCTAAAAATTAGTTCCAGTTCCTAATTAACATGGTGTTACATTTTTTTACAAATACAAATTTGTAATTGATTGTATTTACACTATAATTTACAAATATCATTGGACTACAGTCTTCTTATAAACACTATCAAACACTTTTCTAGACTGTGAAATATTGGCATTGGCATCTCTCTTTTGTGTTCCGAAGATGAACAAAGTTCTTACAGGTTTGGAACGACATGAGGGTGAGTAATTAATGACAGAATTTTCTTTTTTTGGGGGTGAACTATCCCTTTAAATCGGCTCACATTAGGTTGAACTCTATATTCGGCCTCTTTCATAAACAGACCGTGATTCATAACATGATCAATTAGAGCAGCTCTCATTTGAGCCTCTTCAGCATTGCTCCCTCTCAACACTCCCCTTCTGCTCACCTCTCCTCTTGCTCTTTCAATGCACCACTCTTTTTCACTCCTCTTCCTACATCTCTGCTATTTCTCATCATCTCTTTTCCCTCCTCCACTCTGCGCTTCGCCTCATCCTCCTATTCCCTGTCCTTTTCTACTACCCACTCCACTCTTTTCGAATGTAAAAGTTGCCCCCTCAAAGTTTAAAAAACACACAAGATTGTATATTTTAATATTGCAAAGCCTCACAGTGAAAGAGAGCAAGTCAGGCCTGTCTTTACCCCACCAAATTGATGCTTCTTGGTTCACAGTTGTCAAATTCTTGCATGTTGCTGACTCTGAGTTACAAGTTTGGTTCTAAGAAGTGAAACAGAGTGACAAGATTTGACTGGGTTAATGGTTAAAGTGAGGGTTGTGAAACTCTATAATCATATGCTTCAGTTGCTGTTTACTGGCAGTGTCACTGATAACTTCAAATTTAACACTTCTTTTACAGTAAAGCAAGCCGATGTCACACATACAATTCACAAATCCATAATACCAGACAGCCTATGACAAAAGAGTTCAAATAAACTATAAACAGATTATTAGATATTTAAAAACACACACACAAAACAAATGGCTTTTTAAATAAACTTATAGGCACTGTGCGTTTATGCCACAATATCTTGCACATGCTATGCTTCAACCACCAAAACTTGCTGTGTAAACGGTGTGTAACAGTATTTCCTACAACAGTGTGTGGTCACAACATAGTTCTCATTCTGTTCT